TTCTCACTGTGCCCTCATGTGGTGAAAGGGGTGGGGGAGCATAGCGGGGTCTCTGTTATCCGGGCGCTAATCTCCTCCTTGGGGGTTCCACCCTCACGACCTAATCACCTCCCAAAGGCCCACTCCCTAACAGCATCCCATTGAGGGCTAGGTTTCAATGTATGAATTTGGGAAGTGGGGGAGACACAAGCATTTAGAGCACAGCTCATGATTATACTCTCTTGTTACATTTTGGGGGAGGGGGTTGACCTGGTGGTAGAGGTGGTGATGGTTTTATTCACCACCGTTGAGTAGGGGCATTGGGAGGACCAATGTGAAATGCAATGGTAGTTGCAGTGATGGATGATGCCATGGATTTAGGATTCTCTTCCAAGTCAATTGAGGATTCTTTTCCAAGATGGGTCGGTGCCCCATCTCCTCAAACACCCAAGCTCTCTGCCGGCTCAGGGTTTTGTACATGGTGTCCCCTCTGCTTGGGGTTCTTCTCCACTTTTAGTGTGTTTATCTCCTTCTCATCCTTTGTAGTTAGTAAATATTTGGAGGGAAATACTTTGAGACCATCCTGTTTCTCCTCATACTTGTACCCGCTTAAATTTTAGTATCAGCCTGTGGACTTTACCTGAGGCAGTTATTATTGTGGTTTTTTTTTTTTCAAACAAGGAGTTTAGTTTAATTTTCTCTGGGTATTTGCAAAACACTTAGGGCCAACATAGAAAAAATAAAATAAAGTAAAACCTCTTACAAAAGAAAGGCCTGAGCAGGATTAGCGCCTTACAAGCCCTTGGAGCTATAGCCACTCTGATTGGTCCAAGGGAGTGAATAGATATTGGGAGGCTACAACAGGAGGAAAGACCATGAGAAACCACTGAGGGAGAGGGCCTCGAAGTGGGCCTTGAGGGGGAACTGGAGGCTGGGGAGTGGGTCTGGGTGGAGGGAGGGGTCTCCGCTGGTAGCTGTAGGGTGGAGGTCATGGGGCCAGTGTATCCATGAGAGGGCATCGGTGGAGGGGGTCCATGCATACCAGGCAGAGGCATAGGACCTGGGTGACCCGTGGGAGAGCCAAACGGAGGCCCTTGAGGGGGCATGCCCACTGGAGGAGGTCCAGGGTGAGGCATTCCAGGTGGTGGTCGGGGTGGTGGCTGCCCCCCAGAGCCAGGGGGCCCAGCATGGGGGTTCCTTAAACCATGAGGGCCATGGTGGGGCCAGCTGCATCTGCATCCCTGGATGGGGCATCCCACCCGGTGGGAATGGTGAGGATGTGAGTGTCCGTGTCTCGGATGCCCAGCCCCTGGGGTTCCCGCTGATGGGGGGCCATGTCCTCCGGCCCCAGGAGGCACAGGTGGTGGTGGCATGGCTGGGGGTATCTCAGGTGGAAGGGCTCCAGGAGGCAGTGCTGGGAAGGAGCCAGGAGGGGGCATGCCTGGCAGAGGAAGCCCAGACCCCAGTGATGATACCACAGGATTGGGAGCAGACAGAGGAGGGGTTGCATCTGCAAACAGCTGATGAGGGCAGTCAGCCTGGGAGAGTGGGTTCTGTGCTGCCAGAAGTTGTTCAGTGCCTGAGCCATGACGCTCGCCCTCGGAGTCCTTCTTGAATGTGTAGGACACAGTGATTGGGTGGTTACAGAGGTACTGCCTATCCATGGCCTCAATTGCTACATCCAAAACATCAAATGAGACAAAATTAATAAAGGCATAACCTTTGGAGTTGCCTGTGTCAGGCTCCTGCATATTCTTGGGGGTTTGTAAAATAACCCCAAAGGTGCTAAAGGTATCATAAAGCAACTTATCAATCTTTGGGTCCAGGTTCCCAATGAAAATGTTGGCCCCCACATCCAGATTTTTGTTGTGAGCTGATGCCTTGTTCACCCTTGTTGGCATCCCATCGAGTTTGATTATGTTCATGATCTTACTGGCATAGTCAGCATCTTTCTCACTCAAGAATTCCACAAAGCCGTACCGTTGGTGCTGACCAGTGACACTATCCTTTGGCATATTCGTGTTCACTACTGGCCCTGCCTAGAGAAATAGTTCCCACAGCAGTGGTTTGCTAGCCTTCTCATCGAGGCCTCCCCCGTACACAGTGGCATCCTGGTTCCACTCAGAGATTGGCCTGGCCGCCATGGTGAAAGTGCTCCCGCCATCTCCAGGCAGTGATCCCACCCCCTGACTATTACTGTGGTATTCTAGTGGTGGTTTTTTATCTCCCTCATTCCTTCTACATTTATTAATTGTAATTCTTCTTTAAGGTAAGACTCTCTTCCTTCCACCAATATGGACTCATGGGTATTTATTTTATTCTATGGCTTATAATCCAATACTATCATTATTTTATTGCTCCAATCATTCTAGCTTTGACCACTGAGAGCTATTCAGGCTGGCTTCTATATCCTTAATAAGCCCCCAACCTGGTTTTTTTTGAGCAATTCTCTATTTTCTGGCAATACATGGTGTTCCAGGCTCATCTTGTATTTTCCTTGCTCCAGCTTTGGAATCAACCACTTCTCCAAGGAGCCCTGGTTCCTTTCACTGAAGAATGGTGTTTAGAAACCAAGATCTGGGTGGTAAGTGTGCTCATTGCTACTGGGGATTCTTTGCTTCTAGGTCTTTTCAGTGTTCAGAGTTTGGAGATGTATTATCCACTCACACACACTTCTATATTTATATTAGTATCTATTTTTTTAAACTTTAGTTCATACTGATACTACTGATTTCAATTCATCACCATAGGGTCATTCATGTCTCCCTCCTTACTTGTAACTTTCCTGAGTTGTAACTTCATTTGTTTTTTTTAATCGAAGAGCTTGATAAATTGTGAAAAATATTCCCTTCTCATCCCTGTGCTCTTCTTTTCTCCCCTGAAAATGACCGATGTGAATATACAACTGAATGCTTGATGTTGCTGTTAGAAGCTAGACCAAGAGAACCCAGTAGAATTCATGGTCCTTCTTAACGCAAAAAGCACTAATTACACACTTTATCAGCAGTGGGGTGCAAGAGGGTCAGCTGAGGCTCTGGAATGTCAGCTCATGGTCCCAGTCAAATGAGTCAGATGGGAATGCAAATTTTATTCGAGCAGTTGTATATCTATATGGTTTTTGGGGAAAAAAAAAAAGCTTGCCTATTTTCTTTCCCTATCTGGAGAAAACGCTCACCCCGTGGTCCTCCGACCCTGAGCACTGTCCTTGCTCCTGGAAACTCTTTGCCTCTCGCTGGCCACCCTCTTACCTCCTCACTGATTTCTGCCCCCCTGCCCCTCCCAACACATAATGCTGCCCCCTTTCCCTCTGACTTCTTAATCTGTATTTCCACTTTCACAGACTTTGTGAATTTTCACTTACATGCAGATCCCAGCAGAAACCATTCATGGCTGGGTCTTCAAAACCTTCTCAATCAGAAAAGCCAACCTTACATTTTTAAAAATTTTGTTGTCTGAGGTTTGGTTTTCCTCTTCCGTTCCCTGTTCCTGTAACACATCGGGTGTGGGGGAATGTTCTGTTTTTCCGTCCTTTCATAACAGCCTGGAGTTGTTCAGCATGAAACCTCAAGGAATTCTTTGCTGAAAACCCATGTTTTGCCCTCCACCCTCCAAACATGTAAGGAAGAGCAAGGGTGGCTCACTCTGATGGCATATGAAGCACTTTTTTATTTGAAACTCAAAAGCCTGACTCTTTTAGCTCCCTCTGGGGAAAAACAAAAGCCTGTTGGAAGTATTATTCCTTTTGGTGTTATCAACAATTCCAGCAGCCCACAGGCCCATTTGACTGGGATTCTGCCAATCTCATGGCCAGGGGAGGGCACACCTTCGCAGCGGTCTGGTCTAACCCGAAATGAACCCAGAATGAACCCGGAGGGGGCTGATGTCAAGTCAGTGAGAGAGAGCCTCAGGATAGCTCTTATTTTCTTAGCTGTATCCAGGAAGCCTGGATAGAAGGGTACTGGGCAGCCATAGACTTCCTCAAGAGTCGACTAAGCAGCGGGTGCCCAGGATGCTAAGTCATTGAGGGCACTGAACCGTCAGTGGGACAATGAAGAATCGCTTTCAAGAATTCTAAGGTTACTGTCTGTTCTTGGAAGGAATGCTCAGCAAAGTCACTTAGGGCTGGTGGGAACGGAGGAGGATGTGGTGAGTAATAATATTAACAATGATAACCACGGGGGCATGCTGAGTTGTAATAGTAATAGTAATAACAAGGAGACGATGACGGCAATGATAACAATGATGAAATCGACTGGAAATTAATCCAGTTCTTCCTTATGAGCCAGGCGGTATGCATACATTTAAAAAATTTATTTTTGAAATTTTTGGCTGCGCGGGGTCTTCACTGCTGCATGGGGGCTTTCTCTAGTTACGGAGCTCAGGCTTCTCATTGTGGTGCCTTCTCTTGCTGTGGAGCAAGAGCTCTAAGGTGCTCCAGCTCACTAGTTTTGGCTCACAGACTCTAAAGCATGGGCTCAGAAGTTGTGGCAGGGCCTTAGTTGCCCTGTGGCACCTGGGATCTTTCCAGACCAGGCATCGAACCTGTGTCCACTGCATTGGCAGGCGGGTTCTTAACCACTGGACCACCAGGGAAGCCCAGTTGTACATAAATTTACTGTATACATTGTATCTCATTGAATTCTCACAACTATGTGAGGCAGGTACTGTCATTAGTCCCATTTTTCATCTAAGAAACTGAGGCTCACAAGATATTACAGATGGGGATTGCAGTCACAAAGCTACAAAATGGCTAGATTAGAACCCCAAACCTTCTTTCTGAAATACTTCGCTGTGTGGTCTTTTTTTTTTTTTTTTTTTCCCGCTGTGTGGTCTTCTTTGGTCTGACTTGTAAGCTGCAGTGCTTTGATTTCCCTGAGCTAGGTATTCAGGTGGTTGTGGCTGAAGCTTTAGCACAAGGGCCCACATGCTAATCAGACAGCCTCGGGAAAGGAAGTGAAGGGCCTTCCTTCCACAGGCTGCAATCTAATGGAGGAGGCACTTGCAGGGCCATATGTAGCGCCATGCTGTGGGGGGTGGTCAAGTGTGGAGGCTGGGTCCTTCAAACTGAGGATGCAAAGATCTGGCCAGTATTGGGAGAAAGGGTGGTTGGAAGACAAGAAAGGCAAGCCAGGCAGAGGGACCAGCAGGAGCCAGAGGACCGAGGTGTGAAATACAGAGTGGTGAGCACAGCAAGAAGTTTGGTGTGGCTAGAAGCTAGGGTTCTAGGGGAAGGGGAAGAGTTCTAGGTGAAGAGCTATAGCTGAACAGGCAGAGGCTTTGCATGAACCAGCTATACCCAGTGTTTAAGAATGTGGGGTCTAGATACAGAAGAACCTGGGTGTGGATTCCAGTTCAGCCTTGTTACTAGCTGTGTGACCACGGGCAATGTTTTAGAAACATCTTGAGTTTCGATGTTCATATTTGGAAAATGGAGACAAATAATGCCGTATACATTAGGATGAAGAAATAGGGAGTCCAAGTACCCCATCTGGCACACCATTGATAGATGAATTTGCCAGGATACACACTTACTTTCTATTACACAGACAACTGTATAGTTCACAGTGGTGGCAGTTTAGTCACTGAGTTGTGTCTGACCCTTTGCGACCCCATGGACTGTAGCCCTCCAGGCTTCTCTGTCCATGGGATTTGCCAGGCAAGAATACTGGAGTGGGTTGCTGTTTCCTTCTCCAGGGGATCTTCCTGACCCAGGGATTGAACCCAGGTCTCCTGCATCTCCTGCACTGCATGTGGATTCTTTAACCTACTGAGTCACCAAGGAAGCCCCCCCTAGTTCAGAGAGTTCCTATATATACTCACTTAATGTTACAGATTTCAGATCACAAAACCATATTTGCATTGTAACTTTTCTCTCTGTAGCTGTCATCTCTAGTCTATGTGGACCTCAAGGGTGAGGACCCTGCCCTACTCTTCCATCATATGGTGGGGCAATAGAAACACAAGGGTCTCAGACTTGCCAGGGCATCAGAATCGCTCGGGGGATAAAAGCAGAGGACTGGGCCCCCTCTCAGATATATTGCACCCGAACCTTCAGGACTGCTGCCTGCGCTTTCTATCTTGTCCATTTGGGGTTTGAACCACAACAGAGAAGTGCTTCTTGAGTAAATGAGAAAATGACCATACTGTATGTATCGATCAGTATAGGCTAGTATGTGCTTTGACAACCGTCAGTTCAGTTCTGTTCAGTCGCTCAGTCGTGTCCAACTCTTTGCGACCCCATAAACTGCAGCACGCCAGGCCTCCCTGTCCATCACCAACTCCCGGACACCACCCAAACCCATGTCCATTGTGTTGGTGATGCCATCCAGCCATCTCATCCTCTGTTGTCCCCTTCTCCTCCTGCGCTCAATCTTTCCCAGCATCAGGGTCTTTTCAATGGCCAACAATACTGGTTTGGTTTTTGCTCACATCATGTGTCCATGATGGATAGGCTGCGGGCTCTGCTCAATAAAGCAGCAACCAAGAAGTGACACATATTCCCTCCATTCACATTCTTTGGCTGGGACTACTCATGTGACCCCAACCCAGGGGTCCAGGAGGTGGGTTCCACTGTGTGCCAGAAGGTGGGGAGCCAGAGGTCATGGGTGAACCATACAGATGACTGCCAGATTCTATGAGGCTGGCATCATTAACTTCATTTACATCTGAAAGTACGTCTTAAGAAGCTTGCTCAAGGCCATATAGCAAATATGGAGCTGAACTTGAGTTCTTTGTCTGTTGTTTTCTTCCCCTGGCTCAAGGCCACACTCTTTTTTTTTTTTTTTTTTTTTTAATGGAATGAGACTGGATGGGGCATGGCATTAAACATAGTGGTTGAAAGTCTGGGATCTGGCTTGCCTCCAGACCTTCAGCTCTGCCAGATGTGTGAGCTGGGCAAGTGACAGAACCACTTGGTGTCCTTCAAGGAGACAGTCCAAGGCTGGGACAGGCAATGTAAGAATGTGTTTTCTGGAATGAAGTGTTTGGGGCCAGGTTGGTGGCTCTGCTGGTAAAGAATATGCGGGAGACCTAGGTTTGATCCCTGTGTTGGGAAGATCCCCTGGAGAAGGGAACAGCTACCCACTCCAGTATTCTGGCATGGAGAATTCCATGGAGTGTATAGTCCACTGTGTTGCAAAGAGTTGGACACGTCTGAGCGACTTTCACTCATGCTCACTCAGGGCTTGCCTGAGTGGGACTGATACTGGGTGGGGTTGAAGGAGGCTGGTAGACAAAGGTTCCCTGGATTTGGGTGGTTCCTGACACACCCAGGAAAGATGCGTGTCTATTCTCCATAAGTTGCTTCTTTCTTCCCTGCATCATTGTGAATGTTTGATCTGCAAAGAACAGAGAAGCTAACTCAGGTTGATTTGACCTCATGCATTAGCTCAGGGAGGGGCTTACCCAGGTGGCTCAGTGGTAAAGAATCTGCCCACCAATGCAGGAGCCACAGTTTCGATACTAGGGTTGGGAAGATCCCCTGGAGTAGGAAATGGCAACCAGTTCCCGTATTCTTTCCTGGGAAAATTCCATGGACAGAGGAACCTGGTGGGCTACAGTCCATGGGGTCACAAAGAGTTGGACACAGCTGAGTGACTGAGCACCATCAGCGCAGAGAAGGAGATGCCCAGGGCCTTACAGGTCTGATATCAGTCTAGCAGCTTGGTGATGTGGTCAAGGACTCAGATCTTTTGGTTTCTCTGCTGTGCCAAGCAGACCTTATCGTATCCCTCAGTTGTGGAAACTATTGATGGCAACTGAGATTCCAAACCAGGCAGGGAGTGTGTTCCGTGATATTCAGTCTCGGCTACGAGTTCGTGATCTTCAAAAGGAAGGTCTTCTTCAAAAAGAAGACCAAAGGAACACAGTAGCTTGGGTGTTTGCAGCAGTTTTACAGTTTTATTTAAAGTCAGAAAGTAACAGAGAGAGCTTCTGGCACAGACACCAGAAGAGACCCACATACCCAAGACATCTTATTATATAACTTTTGACCTGTTACTAAAAAGCTTTTGTAGAGGACTGGACAGTTAACATTAGGTCATTTTGTTTCCCTTAGATCTTGTAATGAAGGTCAATCTCCTGACAACATCAAGGAGACTGTTCCTATGGCTCCTTTATTATCAATTAACCACTTGCCCAGCTCTCACTTCTGTTGTGGGTAATCGGCCATAGATTCCAAATGGCCATAAATTCCAAGACATAGGTGACTACATGACTGGGTCCAATGGACTCCCTGCCAACCTGCCTAAGGAATGCTATCAAGATAGAGCTGGTTTCCTGGGGCTCTTTCTTCCAACAAAGAAGGTTCCTCTCACCACGGCCCCAGCGAGTCTTTCTCCAAGTCTCATTGGCTTCAGCCAGCTTCAGCCTGTGAGAGGTCAGCGTTCTTGGTGGAAATGCTGGCTGATTTAAGCAGAAAGGGGAATGTAATAAAGGATGTTAGGTCTCCCACAGAATCATCAGGAGGGCTGGAGGAAAGAAATTGAGGCTAAGCTTCTAGGAAAAATGCCCCAAACCACACTGCACGCCTGGCCCAATCAGCAAACCATCAGGCCGCCTGAGTTTGCCGTCACCACGACCACCACTGCCGTCAGCTCTCATGTGGCTTCTCCATTGGGAGCTCGGCCCTGCAACCGCCACCCCCAAAGCCAGTCACTTTGGCCACTGGTCACATCAACAGAAATGAGGCTCAGCTCACGTGGTACCTCTGGCCAACAGAGCCTGTGTCATACCCCTTGTCCTGGGTGCAAGGGAAGCAGGATATTTCTGATTTCTAACACTCGGGTGGTGGGATGTATTCATATGATGTGAGACTTCCTCAAATACAGACTGGCTGGAGATAATGAGCTTGGATTGCCCAGTGGGGAAGGACGGGCATGTGGGGACCAATGGCATTGTCCATGACACTCTCGTCTCCAGGTGGGTTGTCTCCTCTCACATGTTCCCATGTGCTCCGAGTATGTACCTGCCTGAGATGCCTTTTTAAAAAGATATATGTGTGTGTGTGTATATATATTTATTTGGCTGTGCCAGGCCTTTGTTGGGGCATGAGGGATCTCTAGTTGCAGCATGTGAACTCTTAGTTGCACCATGAAGGATCTAGTTCTCCGACCAGAGATTGAACCCAGGGCCCCTTCATTGGGAGTGTGGAGTCTTCGCTACTGGACCACCAGTGAAGTCCCTGAGATACTTCATAAGGCCCCAGTCCACCTTAATCTCCCAGTTTCCCTCCCTCATCTATTCCTTGCCAAGTCATTCTTATCTCCTATTCCTTGTTCTCCTTTTTCCTCATTGCCTAGTTATGGGCAATGATGACCCATGATAATGCACCCTCCAGAACTCAAATTCAAGTCAAGTTCTTTCCTACCCTTCCATTCAGGCTTTAAAAAAAAAAAAAACCTGGCCATTTGCTCTTCTTTTTCATTCTGTTTATCACATAATATTTCAACATGTATTGGTTCAGTTATTAAATTAACATCCCTCTTCCCTCTAGGCCATCAATGTGATGAGAGCCTAGACTGTGTCTTGCTCACAGCTACTAACACAGTAATTGGCATTTAAGTGTTTTAAGTTTTTATTGAGTGAATGAGCATGAAACAAATCCCTTTATGGGCATTTATAAAGTTACTCTTGGATCAAAGACATTTTAATAGTGATTTCTGGAAACCACAGGTTAAACCCTTAGAGGTGTAAATATTTTAGAATCACCCAGAATTTTTTGGTCCATCTGTAATGCCCTTCATGGATCCTGTTACATCCATTCCTGCCCTGTGAGGATCACTTTGGGGTGAGCTGAGCTGTTGTCATTGATGGGAACCTGTGACGTGCCTTGTGTCAGGGTAGAAACCTAACCGGGAGTACTGTGGCCTGAGGGTGGTGGCAGCTTCAGTTCCTATAAAAACTTTCCTCATGATATCATACTGGTTATATTAACCCCCAACCTCACCAAAATTCTCTTACCAAGTTTCAGCTTAAATGTTTCTTTTTTCTTTTTGTTAACAACTTAAAAATATTTGGGTGGCTTTTCCTGTATAAGGGGAACCTTTTACAAAACAGGTTGCCAGTCACCCAGGAAACTGGGAAGGGAGAGCACATCAAAGCTCCAGGAGAGTCTTCAGGTCTCTTTCCACCATCAGGAGGAAGGGTGGGGGTAATTTCATCCACTACAAAGCAGTGGATTGTTTAAGGTGTGCAATTTTATTCCCATGTCTGAGCAGATAGGGCCACATCCTCCAAATTGATTTGGAATTTATATTGAGAGATGGGGAAAAATAAAATAAACAGGCTACCAATGTAACAATAGCTATAATTTACTGAGGGCTTAAGGCACTTTTTTGACATGCTTCACATACATTAACTGGATGCATATTCCCAATAGCCCATTTACATCTTTATTTTAGAGGAGAACATCAAGGCACAATCCACCCAGATATAAATGGTATCTTAGATTGGAGTCCTGATCTCAGGAGATATCTAATTTTTCAGCTGTATGAAGATACAGGCTTTTGAATCTGGGGAGAAACTTGTTGGTCACTGAGGCCAAAGTTTGTTGGCCTGGGACAGACTGACCTGGTGGAACCCCAGCCCTCCCACTTAGCACCTGTATGTACCCTTAGGCCCTTGTTTCCTTATCTGCAAAATGGGAACACATACCTCCCTCCCAATGGAAATTAGCTAATGAATGGACAGCACCTGGCACCTGGCACTTGGTAACTTGTCACTGCCCATCATCTGTGATTTCCCTTCCTCTCTTTCATTCATTTCATTCATCAGGTGGATTTGGTGATGTTTGAACCTAGAGGGTATTTATAACCTCTGGCCTGCAGTGTTATTTCTAGAGGGACTGGGCAGGCTTGCAGGGTGGGCAGGCCAGCGTTTGCTGAGATGGATTTGACTGTCAGATGGGCTGGGCAAGCCCCTGCAGACCCTCATGCAAGATAAAGGAATAGCTAGAACCTCCAAGGCTTTCAGCAGCTTGTTTTTTACAACAAGCTGTTTTTTACAACAGATTTTACAACAGCTTGTTGTCCCAGACATGCTAGCTCATGAGACTTTAGTGAGAGGCAGTACTGGGTTCTGGACTCAGACTCAGGTTCAAACCTCATCTTACAGTGGAGACGAGCCAATTTCTTCATCTCCTTGAGTCTCCATTTTCCTATGACTTGACTAGGAAGAATATTGGTAGTGACCTTGAAGTGCCCTCAATAACTGCTAGCCCGTCGTTTATTAGAAACAATTCTATAAGGTTAAGATTTTATCCCCAGGAAGAAGTCACACCCTCCTCGGAGCCCCCTAACATCCATGTAAATACATTCTGGTTCTATGTCTTGTGTCCCATCCTACCGTGCTATCATCAAAACGCCACCAGTCTAAAGAGGAGACACGGTCTGGCACAGGAAGGCCTTAGGAAGTTCGGGTAATGAGGGAGAAGCATTTTGCTGACCGCAGCTCTACAAAACCAGAAGGACTGTAGCAACTGCCCTCCTAGGAGCGCGTGAACCGTGGGAGGGAAGTAAAGAAGGGCTGAGATTTGGCGCCCTCAGCGGAAGAAGGAACAGGGACAGGGCCTGGGGATCGTCATGGAGGCGGGAAATCGGGGCTTCGGTTTAAGCAACAGACAACCCCGGATGCCCACTCCTAGCTGCGTGACCCAGCGGTAGTTCTTAACCTGGCCAAGCCTCCGTTCTTTCGCCTTTGGAAAGGAGAGGATGGTAATACCCACTTCTTGGTGGAACTTGTGAGGACCCAGGAAGTTTTAGAAGTACTCGGCACCCAGGAAGCATTCCAAGACTGGCTGAAGGGATCACTGTTGTCACTGTGCTCAGAGCTTTTGCAAGGGCTCGAAGGTCCAGGGCCGCGGGCGCGCGCATGCGCACGCGCACCCGGCCGGCCAGGTGAGAATGAGGCGGCCGACCCGCACCTGGCATTTAACCCTTCACCTTCACGGAAGTGGGCGGGACGGGTGCAGGGACCAGGACGCGGGGTCGCGAGCCCGCCTAGACTTAACCTCGAGGCGAGGGGGCTGCTCCTGAGGAGAGCGTCCAGCCGTTTCCAGGCCGGGGTCCGCGCGCGGCGCGGGGAGGGCGGGGAAGCGCGGAGGGGAGCGAAGTCTCGCGAGATCGCGCGCGGCGGCGGTAGCGGCGGCGGCGGCGGCGGCGGCGGCGGCCCGGGAGGTGAGCTGCTGGCGGCGGCGGCTGCCGTTGGGGCTGAGGAGCGGGTGAGAGCGGCGGAGGCCGAGGGCCAGGCAGGGGAGCCGGCCGGGCGGGCGGGCGGCCCGCGTTCTGGGCGGCCGCCTCAGTCGGCCCCGCGGCTGCAGTGGAGTCGCCCGGTCCGCGCTGTCCCGGGACCCGAGCGGGCGCGGCGCGGCGGGGCGGGGCGGCCGGGCCGGGGCCGCGGGCTGTCGGGCCAGTCCCCTCGCAACCCGCGTCCGCTCGCGGCTGCGACCGCGGGACGCGCCGCCGGCGGCGCGTTGGCGCTGGAGGACGCGGCGCTGCCGGGGCCGGCAACACTGTTCAGTGAGCTTTAACCGTCTACCCGCACTTAGGTGGTTCCGCTCGGGGCTGCACGCAGAGGTGAAGCGCCCTGCCCAGGGTCACGCCGCTGGGACGCGGTGGAGTCGGGGTTCACACCCGGGCACGGCGACTCCAGCGCCCCGCCCCGTCCTTGCCTCCCATCCTTCTCCCCGCCCCCACTCGCGGAGTTTTAGGGCTCGAATTCTCCTCAGGTCCCGATTGAGCTGCAGAGGGTGTGTCTGCCCCCACCCCCTCTCCTAATTGAATGCAGCTTGGCACTGGAGTTTCTTGTGGGAGAGTCTTCGGCCTTTGTCAGCTTCCCCAAAGGGTCCCTGTATCCAAAATGAACAAAAACTTTTCTTTGGCCCTGCGTGAGGGCAAAAGTGGGCTTAAAAGCAGCGGTGTGTGTCTGGGGTGGGATGTCCGATCGAATGGAAGTAGAATATTGGAGCCCAGGGCTTGCTTTAAGCAAAGGAAACTTTTTGTTGTTGCACAGCACGTGATTCCACACTTTGGAGCAGTGGTGCTCAACTTTGTCAGAACCAAGGCCCCTCCCCTTCGCAGCAACTGTTTATAAAGCCCCCTTTACAGCGCCAATGAAATTCATCAGAAATAAAAGCTGCCTACGTACGTAATTGAAAACCACTGTGATGCTCCGATTTAAATGTTAGAAATAAAAGAACAATACATGACATGCATTGCCACATCACGTCTCGCACTTTGCTGCTGTGCCTTGGACTGGACTGCTCCTACCTGCTTCTAGTGAATAAGCTTGGGTTGAAGAGAGGTAAAAATGTCAGGAGCTATTTCATACAAGGAAAGGAAAGATTAGAGGTTTAGGTAGACACGGGAGTGGAGGACACCTTAAGTGCTGGAATAACTTATTTATGATTATGAAGATACATGCCTAGATTGAGTTAGGAGTAACAGGACTAGAGAAAGTACAGATCATCTCAGTCAACATATAAATAATACTAATATAGCCCTTTCTTAAATGCCAGACTTTCAAACAACATTGTAGGGCATCTTTTGTGCCGCAAGCTTTGAAATACTGCCGCTTTGAGGCACCATGCTGCATTCCTACTGCTTCTCTCTGATAATGAATAAAATACTAGCTAGATTGAAGGGTTTTTGTTTGATTCGGTAGCAGTATCTCACATAGTGTAGATAAGCTCATTGTTGTGACACTGCAGTTATATGTTGAGTTAATGTGTGGTGTGTGGAAATAGTCACTCATTTTCAGACCCTAGTCATTCAGTCTCAACTTGCTTCACTTTAGCTACCTTCTCTTAAATTACTAGGGTTTTTTCCATAATTTCTTGTAAAATATTTAGTACTATGTTCTGAAGTAAAGCCAGTTAAGGTGACTAATCTGGCTGGTCATTGAAAAGTCTCAGGACCAGGCTAAATCTTCATTATGCAGATCTAGCCCACGCATTGAGAGAAGTTCGAGCATCTTGGCTCCCAAGCTGTAAATGCCAGTCACTTTGATAACTAATCATGTCAGAGGACCGCACATGTCTCAAGGACTAGCTCCCTTGAGAGTGACTCTAAATTGTAGACTGAGTTACAGCAGGGAAGGGGTCAGGGTTTAACTGACAAACAAATGTTTGTTGGGAACATTTTTTTCCCTGTTCTTTCTGCGTGTGTGTTAAGTAGCTTCAGTCATATCCGACTCTTTGCAACTCTATGAACTGTAGCCCGCCAGGCTCCTCTGTCCATGGGATTCTCCAGGCAAGAATACTGGAGCTGGGTAGGCGTACCCTTTTCCAGGAGATCTTCCCTACCCAGGGATCCAACCGTGTCTCTTGTAGCTCCTGTATTGCAAGCGGATTCTTTACTGTTGAATCATTGGGGAAGCCATTCTTTCTTTCTGCTTACTAATATCCGTGTTAGAGAATTTGATCAATGCATATTGAACAAGAGTGAAAATTAAAATGAACTATAGTTACGTTGTCCTCTGTGCTCCTGATAGGATTTATTAGAAATTCTGATTTCATTTGAAACTGCGTTAGTCTTACTGCCTTGGGGAAAATGCAAATTGAGTTAAGATAGTTCAACTCCAACTATTATACAGCTATAGTGTAACATGATGAATTTGTTCAACTTTTGTTAAATCCACAAAGGAAGTTTATTTTTCCTTTCTGTTGGATAGATAAAGTGACTTCTTTACTGTAAGATGTTTGTTGTTCATTTGCTTGTTACTTTTGAAAGGTGCTATGGAAACAAACATGTAAGTAAGGTTCTTGTCAGAATAGAAGGATGTATTTTAAATTGCCTAGAGATAGATACATTGAATACTTCTTGACGTGAAAATTATCCAAATTAAGAATGATTAATTTTTATTACTTTGCGCAAGCAGTGTCATGTTTCAGGGTAAAAAGAGGTCACTCCTTTTTTGTTTTTTAAATCACTACCTTTTTAAAAATACTCCTGTACAAAAATGAACCAAGTCATATTATGTGGATGTTGAAACTTTTCCACTGTTTAGGTATGGGGACAAATTGTTGAGTGAACAAAAATCCATGCCTCTATAGATGAAAATACATAATTTACTATGTACATATCTCTGAGATTTGTAATTAAGCCATTTCACTGATTTTTAAGATGCATGTCTGAGATAGACTACTGTCTTAAAATTGACGTGTCATGGTTTAATTGGCAGCTTTTGTTCTTTCTTAGTGTTACAGAATAATAGTGTGTATGGAAATGATGGCATCTTAGATGCAGTGAGATAGGGATATGTAGAAATTTCAGCACATTGATTAATGTTTAACACCAAAAACTTTGTCCAAAGAATGACTTGCAAAATGCAGATACATACCAGTTCCAGGTTCTTCCATCTAAATTAGAATTCTTTACTTGGAAGATTCCTATAAACATTTCTCCCCCATGTAAAGCAAATGGAGAATCAATGTTTGTAAGTATAAGAACCATTTGAAAATATGTTTAGAAGGAAACAAACTACTTGATCATTTTTCATGGAGAGAAGATGGTGTGGCTAGTGTCTTTAGTAAAGGTAATCAGACAGTATAACCAGGCGGATGTATGAATATGCCTTCTTTTTTTTTCCCCCCATTGTGAAAGATTCCTCGGTCCACTTATAAATGAAAGTTGTCTCAAATGAGACATCCTTAAGTTGAATTTCAACAATTCACTGTCATTTTCATAAGATATAGTAGCTCAGATGGTAAAAAATCTGTCTGCAATGCAGGAGACCTGGGTTCAATCCCTCGGTTAGGAAGATACCCTGGAGAAGGGAATGGCAACCCACTCCAGTATTCTTGCCTGGAGAATTCCATGAACAGAGGAGGATGACAGGCTATAGTCTGTGGGGTCGCAAAGAGTTGGACACGACTGAGCAACTTTCACTTTTTTCACTGAATGTATTTATTCTGTGTTAAAGACAATTTATATGGGAGGCTACATGGTGTCCCCCAGCCTAGAAATCTGTGTAAGGACTCCACTGAGGGCCAGTTTCATAGGAAACTCAACCACTGAAGACTGCATACCTTCTTCGAGGTGGATTTGAGCTTTTCTTTGTAAGTGTGCTCCCTCAACCAGCTGCACACTAGCAGCCTCCTGGAGCTTGTTTGAAATGCCAGCTCTGGGGCTCACCCCAGACTACTGAACCAGAATCTGCTTTTTAATAAGATTCTCCTCTAGTGATGCATGAAGATGTGTAAGGAGCACTTGGCCAGATCACTGACTCTCAGACTGGAGTGCTTATTCCTAGAACGGAACTGCTCCCTACCACTCCCAGAGTTTCTGATTCAGTGGGTCTGGACTGGGTTTTGAGAATTTGCACTTTTAACAGGTTCTCAGATAATGCTGATGCTGCTGGCCCGGGGACCATACTTTGAGAACCACTAGGCGAAAGCATCCTCGTTGTACTTCTTCAATTCTTCTGATTTCTTGTCCCCCAAGTAGTGCTTTTAGAGATGACTATAATGTGTTTTAGCTTGATTAAAGAAAAACTTAAACATTGTCTTGTGTGATTTTTAGTGATGGTCACACTAAATTTGCTTGTTAATATCTAATTCATAGAAAAATTCTTTTATTTATTTTTTAAATTGGAATATAGTTGCTTTACAATGTTGTGTTAGTTTCAGGTGTACAGCGAAGTGATTCAGTTTTACACACATACATACATACGTATATATACACACACACATACACATATACACACACATACATATACACACATACACATATACATACACGCATACATATACACATACATATATATACATATACATACATACTTATGCATATGTACACACATACATACATATGCATATACACACATACATACATATACACAATACATACATATACACACACATATATACACACATACATATATATACACACATATACACACATACATACATATATATACACAGACACACATATATACACATATACACACACATACACACATATACACACACATATATATACACACACATACATACACATATATACACACCCACACGTGTATTCTTTTTCAGATTCTTTTCCATTTTAGGTTATTATAAGATACTGAATATGGTTTCCTGTGCTATACAGTAGGTCCTTGTTTATCTTATGTATAAACGTGTGTATCTGTTAAACTCCTAATTTAGGAAAGCATTCCCTTTTAATGTGTGTTGGATTTTGGCTCTAGGTGATAAGTAGTTCTCTTTCTCTTTCTCCTATGAAATACATTTTTAACACTTTAAAATTCTTTTTGTATATATAAAATGTTCATGTGATTCAAAAAGGAAAAAAATCTATTTTGAGGAGTCTAATTTCCAGTTTTGTTTTGGTTTAACATGCTGTCTCCAGCCATAGAGAACGTTTTCTATTTGTTTACTATAGACGTATGTTGTTTCTTTGTGTAGATAAAAGCAAATACCAGTACACTGTATATACCCACTTCTTTTATATGTAGTATGCTACATAAATTATTCTGACCCTGGCTTCTTTTTCAATAGTGTACCTTTAGCATCTTTCCACATTAATATATAGA